CCTTTCCCAGCCCCGTTTTTTGGCACTGGGCCCTTTGAGGCCGAGGCTGCGGTCGAGAAACTTTTTGGCCTTGACAGATGGCAATGTAGATGTCCCAGCAAATGAACCTGGTGTCAGTGTCCTGATCGTACGAGAGCTGGTTACAGGATACGTCAGTACGTGTCGTCCCTGGTAATGAAAGAAGTACGCATACCCAATAAGAACGTCTTTTTGCGTAGCCTGGCTGCGCGTTCGTTTTCTTGGTTTACGCGTGGGTGGGTCTTGGTTTACTTTGCGCTTCGACGTTGCTTTTGAAGTTGTGGACGCGAATGCAGAAGTGAAGAGGTGGTCTGGTAAATGATTTGGGTTGGATTTAGTCACAGGTTCCTCGTCAGAGTCCATTTCTTCGTCGTCATTGTCCAAGTCGGCAACAGAATTATCGTCCTCCCCAGAGTATTGATCAGAATCGACATCTATACCCTTAAATTCCTCGTCCTCATCATCTGTCTCTCCGTGCTCGCCCGAACTTCCGTCCTCATCCATTTCCTCGGCAGCCTCTTGCATAGCCCTCTCCATTCGCGCCTGCAGATCGACATCGCTTTCAACTTCTTCCTTCCGTTTTCGCTTGCTGTTCTCCGCCTGCTCTTTCAATCTACGATCCCTTTCCTTGTTTTGCAGCCGTTTCTTCTCCTTCTCTGCGGCGTGAGCTTTGTGGAGCGCGTCGTCGCTCCTTTTTATATTCCGTTTCGACTGTGCAAGCGAGACGCTTTCCGGTGCGTCTTCCTCATCACTAGAAGCAGAGTCTTCATGAGATGGCGGCATTTCGTCTATCAGACATTGTCAGAGCTCGTACTTCAGCGTTCGACATACCGCGATGGCTTACTTTGTCTTTTCAGTCGTTTGAGAAGATTTGAGTTGACGAGATAACTAACGCCTTTTGGTAAATTGCCAGTAAATTTCGTCAAGTTCACACGGTAGTGATTGTCGCAGATTCTCGCGGCCTCGCGCGTCCTTCTCCTCACACTCGGAGTAGTACACCGTCCATTCAAAGGAGCTATCTGACCCACTGCCGTGTCAAACACAAACCCACGAAACTCACGGTCCATTCAGAGTCATCCTCCCAATTCGGCTCGCCAATTGAAAACGCGTTATGACTCCTAGTTGATTCAGGACGCAGCCGGCTGGGGCGAAAACTGTCAGATTCTGCCCTGCAGATTTCCCTGATTCCAAAGTGATGACGATCCTACGGACACATCAAGCGTGGAACAACACAGCATCGAATTATATGCCTTACTTTGGTTCAGTAGCATGTGTTTATGTTGCCAAAAGGTACGCAAGATAGAGTCGTTACGGCGACGACTCGCCAATACAATACTCATTCACAATTTCTGAACCAACCCGTCAATCCAGCCTTCTGAACACAGCGACATCATGATACAAACCCTGCAATGTACATTCTGATCATATGAAACCATCTTTTCCCGCCTCCAGCACGGTGCAGAACGAAGCCGGTGGCCTCCGTCACTGTCTCCTTGGGTTCACAGATGAAACTGTAGGGTAAGTTGAAGTTGCAAATCCGCTCATGAGCACAGCTTTTGTCTAACCTTGTGATGTAGAACTCATTTTGCGAAGTTGAGCACACGGGGTATTTCCATCCAATGCATGGATGCAGAGATACCAATCTTGCATTAACGTTCATCAACCGCTACGGTGGGGCGTCATTGTACTCTTTGGAGAATGACTCGATTAGTAGCGGTGATGGGAAGTTGCAATCAGATCCCCCCGGTTATCACCTATGCTGAAGGCTCTCCCATCTATTCTGTCATGATCATTCTGCTCAAAATTCTACTAGCTGTGAAGTTAGGGGTGATGTGTTGCCGCCGGGCCTTCGGTACGAGAGTTCCCATCTCAGTTCGAGCGAAATTGGATGTGTGCCTGACAAACTAACCTCAGGCTGTGCCACGGAGATCAGTCATCTCTGGGGTCGGAAGGCATACGTTGGCCTGGTTTGCCTTACCTTGGTGCCCGTTTACGGAGGAAATTTCCCTGGGCTACACCTGACAAGTTTCACACCTGTTTCCGTTTAAAGCTGCATTTGTTCTGACTCGGTTCGTTCGGCAGCCTTGACTTCCGTGGCGCAACTCACGTGGAGACATACAGCACTGGCCTATAAAGCCATCGATTGTGCACAGAAATTTTGTCCGCTCTAGAGGTCAACCTCATCATTCCAAGACTCACCTATACATGGCCATGCTGCTTCGCGTGCTTTCAACGTTACTCATTCTCGGAGTGTCCTACCGTGTAGGACGCTGGCTCTTCAGAGCCCTCTTCTCAAAATCTCCATTTCAACATATCCCAGGGCCATCCCCAGAATCGTGGTTCAAAGGTGGGTTAAATCTGTCTCTGCTGAGCAACTTCTCACCTGTCGTTATCTTTCATTGTAAAGGCAATTTGGGCCAACTATTCAACCCTAAGGGCCTCCCTTTCCACCAAGAGCTCGTTGAACGATTTGGAGGCATGGTTAAAGTCCATGGGTTCTTTGGGGTGAGCGACTACTCTCCCCACTCGGTTTATTTGGGTTCTGAAATGAGCGATCAGGACGAACAACTCTATGTATCCGATCCGAGGGCCCTTCATAGCATCGTAATCAAGGAACAAGACGCCTTCGAGGAGACTGCTGTATTTGTTGAGTGAGTACACAACCCATTGTGCGGACCGCCCTCTTCTAAACATTTCGGGATCGAAGAACAAACAAGGCTATCTTTGGTCCGGGACTGGTGGCGACAATCGGTACGAACACCCTCTCTTCCCATGACGCAACCAATGCTGAATTCTTTCAGGGGACCATCACAAGAAGCAAAGGAAGATTGTCAACCCTATTTTCTCTGTGACCCAGCTACGACAGTTGACCCCGATAATATACGAGGTTGCAGACAAAGTTCGTCTTGTTTACGCCAATACTTGGTCCTAATGTTTCTGATCTTCCTATTGTAGCTTTCTGGTGTTCTTGAGAAAGAGTCTGTACAGCGCCTGGCACAAACTGGCGAGAGCGTTTTGGATATGTCCGAATGGATGTCCCGTGTCGCTTTAGAGACAGTGGGACAAACCATCCTTGGATATTCATTTGACCCGCTCGACTCTCCAGCCAACAACCCATACACATCTGCGGTCAAAGAGCTCATGTATGTTTACTCTTCTTCGAAACGGCTCCGTCTGATCCTTTGGCAGTCCAACCATATTCTCTCTATCCCTTGTTCGCCAATTCGCTCCCTTCCTATCGCGGCTCGGTCCTCCTGCATTCAGAAGAAAACTCGTTGACTGGATCCCCAATCAGGCTATTCAGAAGGTCAAAGGCATGTCGGATGTAATGCATGAAACCGCCCTTGAAATTCTGCGACGCAAACGGAAAGACATAGTACAAGAGATAGAAGCCGAGTCACCCGAGGCTTCTGCAGCAAAGGATATCATTAGCGTCTTATGTGAGTCTTCCTACCGTGCCGTCCGGGTAACTTAAACCGACATACATCTATGCCCTTAGTGCGTGCGAACAATCAGGCAACTGCGAGCGAGAAACTCAGCGAGGCTGAATTGACTGGGCAGATGACGTGTGTTGACGTTCGATGACTGACGGAAATGACTCGAGTGCTGATCGTTCTCCATACAGTGTTCTTATCTTTGGGGCGCAAGACACGACATCTTCGGCACTCTCCAGAATTCTACATCTGCTATCGACGCACCCTGAAATTCAATCGAATGTCCGGGACGAAGTCCGTGCAAGGCTCCGCCGGCAACGGGCTGAGGGTGACCTCTCTGAGCGTTTGAGTTATGATGACATCATGGCCTTGCCTTGGTTGGACGCTGTGATCAAGGAGACCTTACGATTGTAAGTAACGATGATTCCAGTTAGACTGTATTCAACCAATAAACTAACTAACGATCCGTAGGTACCCTCCTGTTCCTTTTGTCCGTCGCACGTAAGTCCCAGGCGCCTCTGACTACGCTCCGAATAGCTAACCCAGTTACACAGTGCGGTCAAGGAGAGGACTATCCCTTATCAAGACGTGGATGGGGACCTTCACCCTTCAACGGTCACGATACCAGTCGGAACAACACTTTTCGTTGGGATCGCAGGCAGTAACCGCTTGGAGTCTGTCTGGGGCCCTGATGCGAAGGAGTGGAAGCCTACGCGATGGATGACGGATGCTGCGCCTGCATCTAGCGCGCAAGTACGCCTGCCGGGAGTCTATTCTGGGATGTAAGCCCGCCTATATCGGTCATTCCTGTTCAATGTGTGCTGACGCCTTTCCTTCTCCCAGGATGTCGTTCCTTGGGGGTGGCAGGTCATGCGTGTAAGTAACAATTTGGCCTTTGGTCGCATCCTCGTTCCTGACTTTGCTTTGAATGTAGTGGCTACAAATTCGCCCAAGTCGAGATGAGTAAGTGGTTCACTACATACTATTCGTTTTCATCGAGCTGACTCCCGACGATAGAAATACTGCTGTCGGTGCTACTTACCACCTTCGAGTTCTCCTCAACGGATGAGAAGATAGTCTGGAACCTCTCACAGATCATATCACCATCTGTGCAAAAATCGAGGATGACCCCCGAAGGGCGCGTGACAGACGAAAAGAAAGGTCTTCCCTTGGTCGTTCGCCGGGTGATAGACGAGCAAAATTCATGATGAGAACGCAATGGCACCTACATATTAACATACTCAATTCATAATAATAATAAATACTGTAACATAATGGATACATATTCGACAATAATTGTAATGCTATCAATCTTGTGAGCTTGAACCTGTCGTCGAGCGGAAAACACGAGAAATCATAGTGTAACGCTGGTCAGGGTAATGCATATGGTGCTCGAATGTACTTCTGTGTGGAGAGGAATGGAAGCCGGGAATCCCATAATAGCTATACTGACAAAGGAAAATCGAATCCCTGGGTAGCAGTGATACTAGACTAGAATGTACTCTCGGATAACGGTAAAAGGAAGAATAAAATAAAGTATAAAAAGATGGGCTCCGCTGGGAGTTGAACCCAGGACCTCCTCAAGTTGTGGTTGTAAACCCAAATGAGGAATCATGCTACTAGACCACAAAGCC